GTGAGCCAGACCACCTTAACTGGTTTACAGGAAAGTCGTCTTCCAGGCTAACAGACCAGGAGGATCTTGAAGGCAAACTCCGAAATAAAATGAGGGAGTTATCTGTTCAAATATGTATGATGTGTTAAGTGCTAGGTGAGTCGACAGTGAACAAAAAAACAAGGAAAATTGTGTGTGAAGCTCAAACTAGAAACCCCCCTTCCTTACCATTAGCTGCACACAAGCCAGGATTGGGAGAAGAACGTGTCTGAACGTGTTTTCAGCAGCTGCTGGCTCTGTGCCAAAAATCAGCATGGCTAATAAACCCAGCACGGAAACTACTTGCTGTTTGTTCCCTTGTTATTTTCACTTTCTCGCCTTTTTTTGTTTGTTTCTCATCTGATCTTGCTCAATAGAATGTACAACATTGCTCGCAATATAGGCTTAAATGTTGATTTTCGCAGTTGAGATTTGCTGAGTATTGTCCTACGACCTTCCGAACATCAATTAAACTTTGAGTTTTACACATGGTTGGGAAAGGTCATGTGGGGCCGTGGGCGGGCCCAATGGGGTTGGGAGGCGCAATGCTTCGTCCTTGGATCCTAGCGCCATACCTTGTCAAATCACCCTCGCCACTTCTGCACATGTTCCGCGCTTGCGTACCACTGCATATTTGACGAGGAGAGCTAAATTTCGACCAAAGGCTCCGAACTTTGCCTTTAACAGAATTGGGGCAGCCTCTTGATGTACGGCGTTCAATAGGCCATTTTCTCGTGTCATTAGGCCGGAAGAAAGGCCATGTGGAAGGAGCGCACTCATCGACCAACGGTAAATCGTGCTTTGGGCGACCCAAATCCACCTTGAAGGAAGGTTCCGTCAAACGGGAGGTCGAAGAAGGGGAAATACAAGGGAAGGTGGGCTTCCAAAGGGTGCGACATGATCCACGGTTTGCAGTCTAGAAGGGTACGCTCCCAGCGCCCTAGCAGGGCCGAAATGTCGCACTCATGCTTTACACTCACTCACCGGTTGAAGGCAAGCTCCGGGATGAAATGAGGGAGTTACCTGTGCAAATGTAAAGTACTGGGTGCTAAGTGAATCGAAGTTAGAAAAAAGCAGGAAATACCTCCAAAAAGTCCAAAATTAGAAATTCCTCTTCGTTAGTTACTTAGCCAGGGCTGGGAGAATTACGTGTCTGAACGTGTTCACAGCAACTGCTGGCTTTATGCCATCAACCGACACGGCCATAAAAGTCAGCATGAAATTGATTTCTTCTAATTTCCTATTTTTTCTGTTTAACTGTGCTTTTTTTGTTTGTTTCCTATCTTAAAAATTTGATTCTCACTAGAATGAATGACAACGTTCTCGATAATGGTCGTAACATAGGCTTTGATGTTGTTTTCGCAGTTGAAATCCGCTAAATATTCCTCTACGACCTTCCAAACAACAGCTTAACATCTAGTGTTCCGAGTGGTTGTTTGGAGGAACGGTGGGCGGGCCCAATGGGCTGGTGCGGCGCCAGTGCCCCCTCCTTAGCTCTTATCGTAGCGCCTCCATCTTGTCAAACCACCTCGCCGCTTCTGCACATGCTACGGGCTTCCTTACCTCTGGATATTTTACACGGAGAATCGAAATTTGGACCAAATCCAGAACTTTGCCTTTAATCCCTTGCTATCGTTCTCTAGCTCCGAATTCTTGAAGCTGCCCATGGCCGAAAGAACTCGCGGGCTAAATAGGGTAGATAGGAAGTTGTAGGTGAAGGGCTGACCAATAATAAAGAAAAAAACGTCAAAGAGGGCTTCAAACAGAAATCCTTCTGCCCACTAACACTGAAGGAACACCGGTGTTTAGTGACGAGTTGTCTGAATTTACCCGCAGGCAAATGCGCCTAGAATGGGACCGCGATGAGAAAGTGTGAGGGAACACTACCGATAAAGAGAGCCTGTGATGGTTGACTCAGTCACGGTGCACGACGACCATGCAGACCACAAACCCACGCGTAATAGAACTAGTCGTTGCGTGATGTCACGTTGCGTGTCGTGTGTGCAGCCTAGGTAACTCGATCAAGAGCCGAGATTATGGCCACAAGCGGCTTTCGAGGCCCTGAAGAGCTTGGAGGCAGCACTTTTCGGCACAACCCCGGCACATCTGTACTCACAGTAGGTGGCTCCTATCTCAATGAAGAATTGTTAATAGCTTGAAGACAGGGGCAGAGCAGACATTCCACGTTATGAGAGTACTGATGGAAAAACTCGTCTGGCGGCCAATCAGCGTTGATGATGGGGAGGCAATGTCGTGTTTAGTGCTTTTGTTTCTTTTTCTCCATCTCCGCAACATTGGTTGCATCTCAATTCCATCCTCGTTGAAAAGCGGAGTCCAGCGGTGTATTCAGACTAAGAAACCCGGCGTTCAATTGAGTCACAACGGAAAACGAAAAAAACAACGCGAAATCGCTATTCGCGAGAAGTTTGCTTTGTGTCGAGTTATCCCAGATAGGCTCGTGAAGAAGGTGTGGCTTGGATCTCTCTCGACGAAGCTACTTGTCGTTTTAGTGGTTTTAAAAACCTATTGTGCGATTTTTCAGTGGATTTACGACGATAAATTGATTACCAATTGGAAAGCAATGGATCCACTAACTCGGAGCCCATCGTTCACTATAAGAACGAAAAGAACAAACAATCGCATTCGTTTCGGTAAAAAAATCGGAACACCGAAAGGGCTGCTACACTGTTAAAGGTTTGGCCACGGCTTCTTCCACAATTCTGGCATGCGGGATGCTTCACTTGGTCCTTGCGAGTGCCTTTCACTAGGTAAATTACTTTCTTGCTCTTCTGTCTTTAATTGCATTTAACATATCACTTCTCTACTGCGTCCTATTCTCATCGATCCATTTGTCTACTCTCCAATCGCATACTTTAAAGGAATCTTGCGCGGAAAATTCTTGCACTCTTTCCTAACATGAATATGTCAGTTGTGATCACTGGAAATAGCACACAAAGTTTCACGCATGAAGATTCGGTTTCTGAAGAGAAACAAACGTACAAAAACTACACGTTATGGACCATCGAAGGACCAGGAGGCAGAGCCAGGCGAGGCATGGAAAGAAGACGGCGTTTGGCCGGCTACGTACCAGGCGACGCAATGAGAGAATCGGGTTAAAGCGCGCGATTTCGGAGAGTGGAGACAAATCGATCGATGGAATAGGATGGAGTAGAAGTGTATGCGCGCACAGACTTCGTATAGCATTCTTTCATTGCGTCGCCTGATACGTAGCCGACCTGGGCGACGGACTTTTGGCTCGTCCGGGGTTGGCACGCGGCAAATCGCGCGGCGGGCTGCGCGGCGATCCGGACGAGGCAAGTCTTCGCGGGCTTTTGTGGTGGAATTCAACACGTCAAAACGTGTGCAGATCGCGGATAAATCCGCTAGGTTCTGCACTTCCAATTACTTTTCAACGCGCCGGGAGGTTTGAGTATAGCGGTGATAGTGAGGAAGGTTCAGTAATAAACGATGAAAAGGAACATAGTGATCAGGGCGCTCAAGTTGGGGGGGGGGGGGATGGGCAGGACATCCAAGCATGTGAGCCATTACTGTGCCTGGAATTAAGCTTCAGGGAGGGGAAGGAATTCTGGGAGAGGATGTGAGCAATTTGTGTTTCCTCTGGCGTTTCTCCCTTTCTGGGCTTAGTCCTAGTGTCGCCTACCATGGGCCCTGTCTTGAATGTTCCCGCTAACAAGACGAGCGCCGCGATCAGCAAGTATAGATAGTTGACACTGAATAACTCTATTTCAGAAAACCTCCTGATTTTAGTATTGCTATTTCGGTTTGATGGTAGTAGTGGCATTCCATGAAGGTTCCTTTTCGCTTCAAATCTCCGCGCGCAGAAATTTTTTATCCGAACCTTCAAAATGTTTTGATTGGGTTTTCTAAAGAACCATGCGAAGATTATCCACTCTGGACACGCCTATACGTGGCTGATAAGGACTGATAACAATGATGCGTATGAACATAGAGGTCACTCGAAACCAGATTCGAGATAACGCTTTTCATTTCAATAACATTTCTTTGCGTTGTTATCCTTAACCCAAAATACCATTCGGCCGCTCCACTCCCTAGAGTTCCTAAAAATGTACGGTGGATGTTTGGAGAAACATGATAATGAGTACTGGGTATTTCCATTTCAAATTCATTAGCGTCAAAGGTTATTCGACCGCCAAATTATTCTGACATTTAATGCATGGTGGTTGTTTACAGACACCAGTTTAGCTCCATATCCGCGCGTATCAAGCGGAGAGACAGCTAACGCATTTCACTGAAAAAGTTCTTACCGGTAAACCTAACCCTCCACCGACCTTTTCGCCCAAGCCTTCGGTTTGATGCGCGCGGTAGCGTGCGGAGCTAAACTGGTATTTCAATAAATACTTAGTTGCTTCAGCTATTCCGGCTCTGCATTTCCTGTCATACATCAAGAAATCCCTCGTTGGGGTGGAGGTCGTCTATGTTATGTACCCGATAGAAGGAAGTGGGGAAGAGGAGTTGGAGTGCCCGTTTATGCACTGAACACAGCATCAATAGCCTGTGAGCGAGACAGGAGTCGCGGCTCGAGCTGGGTGTCGCTGGATGTCTAGCACACGGCGCGTCCGTTCGTTTGATCAGAGCTACACGCTTTAGTTGCTGTTCCGTGCTGATGCAATATGAATTTAATACTCACCAGAGCTGCATAAGAAGCCTCGGAAATTCACGTGTAGGGATTTCTCAAAGGCACAACTCAGCACGGATTCATGGGTTAACAGCGATCGATAATCGACGGAAGTGTAATGTTGTATACAAGAAATTAAACACAGGAAAAGAAACTTTCGTAAGACTTTAATTAGGAGCACCCTTCTTTTGCCGACAGCAATATCGCCTAAAAACCTCGAGGCAACTAGGAGCACGCCCACGATTCGTCGACTGCGTACTTGTGCATGCGCAAAGTCAAAATGTCCACTCGCGGCAGGGGTGTGGCGTCTGCTAGGAACAACGAAGCGACCTTTTTCGCTTTTTCGTTTCCCGTTTTTTCAAACATTGTTCTGCCGGCGAGAACGATTTCTCAGTCACGCTCGTCTGTGAGCCAGAGGCTCCCGCAGCAAAACAGTGTTTCGTATGCAAAACGCGAAACAAGTCGCTTTTTCTTCCATATTAGAACCACACCCATGCGGCAGCGTTTGCAAATTCGTCAGCTGATCTTACTTGCAATTTTTTCTCTTGTACCACATTCTTTCCTCTGTTTTTTGGCGCAGTGCAACTATAAAAAACCGCAAAATGTAAAAATTTTAGTTTTTGTCGTGACTCTATCTTTTTTAGACAGAACAATGTACCGCAACAAACCCATTTCAATTATCGCAAATTAATATTCGAAGAAAGAAGCTATGCTCTTTGAAGATGTGACAACGTGCAAAAAATACCTTTCTACGGTACTCTAGCAAAGGCACTCAGCGTGGTCATTTTTGATGCACTGAATTTGCCAACCATTTTCGGTAGCCCTTGAAAGATGCGCATCGTCCAACAGCTTCCCATTTATGTCTCCGTTGTATGCTTTGAAGGAAAGAATGGCTTCCAAAATTGTAAATTGCATCCCCAAATTTTTCCTCCTTAAATTTGTCGTGAAAGTCATTTCTCATTCTGCTGATGGCTTCTACTACTTCTTATTAGGAAGTCAATTCAAGGAGCTTTCAAATCTTCTTCCAGACCCGTAATTCGCTATATTTTGAGAAACTCAAGGTTAGGAATATCTACAATTTACAACATTTTATTTGGCGTAGAACGCACCCCGAAGTCTACTGACATACGCTCTGCAGCAGCAATCGCATTTCCTTATGTGTCGTCCGTACGCAGGGAGTGGTTGTGTATAGCAACCATCATCACGCAGGACTGAGGGGAAGGTATCGTATTTGTAAGTTTCCATTGACGCCTCACTTGACCTTGTTTGGCGTTTTCGTGAGGGCCGATAGTTGCTGTATCGAGCGACAAGCTTGCGCAGTGCGCTACTTTACTCAAGCCGGTGCCAGACCTGGGAATCTAGCGAATCACAGGGTCACGAGCGATGCACCCGCGACTCGACAATGTGAGAGAGTGCCGAGAGCCCCTCTTGTTCGCACGTTAACTCTTTCCACTTTCCCAGGCTCGCGAGAAGAGAGCATGAGAATTAGCGCGAGTCAACTGTGCATGAGAGGAGCTCGACACTCTCTCTCACTGTCGAGTCGCTGGAACGTTGTTAGAACTGCAATTGCATCGTTTGAACCGCTGGCTTATACCCCGCGGTTGGCTCGCCGCTGGATTTTAAAGTTTGACACCGGCCTAAGTGATGCATCCTTGCGTCTTACTGTATCACACCTTATCGCATTTAGTCCACAGCGTCCAAGCCGTGACGTGAACATATTTAGCATAGTGAAACAACTCACAACTCTTCTTTTCACGTACCAGGATATACGGTATTGATGGCCATGATGACTTGGCGGTACATGAATACTTGATGTAATCCGTTGAATGACACGGCGCGTTATAACCAGAACAAATGCGCATGAATTCTGAAAATTTAATGATCATGAATATGATAGAAATCATTAATTCAGGCACTATTGCACTATATACAACCCCAGTGGGGGTGAGATGGGTCAAAAAATAATTTTCGCTGAAACTTCGCTATGGGGGTTATCGAGGGTCCTGATCACGAATATGATATTCATTTTTGGCGCTGGCGCCAAATTGGCGCCATTTGCGCCGTGGCGCCAAGGGTGTTTCACCAAATTCGCTGTAAACATGCGTATGGGGGTTATTTGAGGCCCTGATTACAAATGTGACGTTCGTTTTTGGCGTTGATGCAATTTGGTGCCCATTTCCTTCTCGTCTGCGCCTCGCACTATTGCACCGCAATCAGGACTGAGCCTTTAGATGTGATGGCTCCAAAATGAGAGAGCCGCTCACCCTGTGAACTCACACTCTTCAAATTTTGCCCCACGGTGCGTGGTTTACCCTTTGCGGATTCTCCCTTAAGGTTAGGTTAGTCGCTTGAGCACTATAAGTGAAAGAGCTTAGAAAAGCAGAAGCACGAATGTCAAAAACGAGTGTCATATTCGTATCAGGGCCCCAAATAACCCCTATACAGAAGTTTACAGCGAATTTGGTGGAATCAGTCGTGGCGCCAGCTGGCGCCAAATGGCGCCAATTTGGCGCCAGCGCCAAAAATGGATATCATATTCGTGATCAGGACCCTCGATAACCCCCATAGCAGAAGTTTCAGCGAAAATTATTTTTGACCCATCTCACCCCCCCCACTGGGGTTGTAATAGTGCAATAGTGCCTAGTTTTTTTTTTTCGCGTTGATTCTTCTGATTATGAAGTTGTTATAATCTTGTAGTACAGTCGCCTGCAATTTTTTTTCGATTTGTTAGCATTAGGTCGGTCCATAATTTCTGAGGTACTTTGGATTTTTCGATTCGATTACTTATCTTATTTCTCTGATGTATTTATTCAGCATAGTATACATCACCATTATTACCAACATATAACCAATGCGAGGGTGGGTATTCAGTGTCTCTCTTGTAGAATTTCATAGAGTTCTGATCGAAGAAATATTGGATGTCGATTTTGACTTTATGGTGATTCAAGTGAGATTTCTTCTCCAGAAGGTGATTGAGAGAGGAGAGCGGATAGTCGTTCGTTGACGCAGGATTAGTGCTACAAGGCGGAGCTAAAAGAACTGACCGCCCGAGAGTCTCCAATTTTCTTAGCAAGGTGGACTCGAACGTCCTCAAAAAAAAGATTTTGCCTCTTCTGCTTTCATTTTGGAGGAGTTGCCATCGAGGTATCATCACTGTCGCTCGAAGAAGGGGAAATGTACCCAGTGAAGGGCAGGCATTTTCAAGGGGTATTTCATTTTGAGCAACCGTATCTTCCAACTTGCTAGGTAATCCGTTATCAATCAAAGGATCGTGACTGGTGGTATATGTGATTCCGTTTCGGG